AAAGTCAGCTATCAAAAGACAATGTATTCACTATTTCGCATAAACGCTTCGACAATATAAAGCCGTTTCTTCAAGGGTCACTGCTTTTATTCACAGTGGAATAAGCCCGCCGAGTCACAAGTCGATAACCACAAGAGCAAACTATTAAAGACGAATTTTGTAAAAGCAATATGGTTTTCTTCATTAGTCCAAGCATCTGCTAGGATATCCCCATGAAAATAATACGAAATTAATTAAAATAAATAAATAAAATCAATGAAGCTCCTTGTGTTTTTGTTTTGTATGGACAATTTTTCTCAATGTAGTTTTAAGCGATGATCTGTGGATGTGTAATATCTACACCATTACAAATCAGACTCGTTACACTTCGTTGTATCGAAATGTTACTATAAAACCTTTTGAGAAAACAACTGATGTCAAATGAAATGTTATTTTTAACATTGGCGAACATATTGAAGGTAAATATATGTGAATAGGTACGTCGCTTTTATGATGCTTTTCTCATTAAAAATATACTTTTCCATCTATTATGCAGCGCCTGTAATTGCAGTTGCATTGCTTAAATGTGTGTCTGAAATTCGAATTATTTTGATAAAGAACGCATACATAATAAACGTGCTCTTCTACAAATGCTCTATATGAAATTGTGGGCCACTTATGAAAACTTCTCTAAATTGGACTTCCATATATTGAAAATGCGCGGAATCTTATAAATCAATCTTATAAAGCTGCTAGAAATGGAAACATAATGGAACATAACAAATGGAAATAACACTTGTCAAAATTGACGTTAGTCTAACATCTAACGACACAGCTGTTTATTTTTGTGAAAAATCAGGTGATATTGGTCCCCGGTTTTGTAAAATTTTGCTGACTTCTAATTAAACACCTAACTACAGCCGTCAAATCTACGTTTACGGTTATTGAGGTACTAACAACATTATTGTGTTATATGTCTCAAATGTAAAGAATTTGTGATAACATCATTCCAGACTTAAATTTGTTCCGTAAGAAATTAATGAAAGGGGAGAACGTGGGAATTTTTTCCGCTTTAGAACAAAAAGAAATACTATTTATTTAATTTGTATTTATATGTGCCTATAATTATTCTGAAAAGATTGAATTTTGTTATTAAGATATTTTGTGAAATAAATATTAAAATAATTATGAAGTCTTTACATTTGGATGCTTTTTGGTATGCAGTTAATATGTAATATATTTGCTATGAATGTGCAAAAAATGATCGAGAATATCTACGTTTAAAAACTTTGTTCCAATCGCCGAATTCGCTGAATTAAAAAACAATGCGCCAAAAATATAATGTTGTTAAATACGCGTTATATTGTACCTTGGGCCGATTCATGTCATGGAATTGTCAGTTTGATCTGAATATGCTTATTTAGACACTTTATTTAGAAAATTTTAATAAATTATTTACAAAAATTATTTGCAAAATTTATTTACGCTATTACAGGAACTTATTTATAGAAAGCAAATATGTAGCATTTCATATGACTAAACTTTATTGGATGCACAAATATACTCACTCGATGGATTTCTTTTTTTAAAGGCTACGACTCAATTTTCTCGCAAATCCTTTTCTAATGAAACCCACCGCATTTTATTCTGAGGTTTTTGGCGATCCTCTTATATGTATAAGTATATATGTATATATGTATATACTAGATTTCCAATTTATTCGTTGGTAAAGAAATGTTATAATACCAGTAGGTTACTACTTTTTCGTTTCCTGTTTACATTTTCAAACATTTGTCAAATACATTAAGCAGTTTTTATGTCCATTCTTTTATCGTAAATGCGATTTTCTTAACTTTTTATCGATTTATGGTAGCAAAACTTTGATATTTTTAGTGCAATAAGTCCAAAAAAAACTTTTTTAAAATAGCTTTTACATATTCGTTTTTTCTGTCCGCACCAATTTTGGATTTACGTTGGATATTGGTACACGATTGAACCAAAAGATATTATTCTTGACGCTACATGACTTTTAATAAAAATGATTGTATTCAATTCAATTTCACTTGAAGTATTAGATTTTGAACAATGTATTTAAGATAGCCCAAAGAAAGTTTAACGGTTTAAGGTAAAAAAGATATTTAATAAATTTACTTTAGGAATTTCGGAAATTATTTTATTGCCTAATTTATTGCGCATGAGTATGATGGTTTGCATTTCGCAATACCATTTTAGTGGTACCAAAGATTATTCACATTTTATTCAATCAATTTTGGCCATATAAAGAATGCAAATAATGTACTATATATAGGGCAGAATTCCATATAATCGATTGTAGTTTACCATTGCTCGAATATACCATTCTTCTACTATAATATGTAATGCAAGGAATACAAAAACTTTTCAAAACATTACTCTCGTCAAAATATATAAAATCAGTTTCCATCGAAAATGCCCTTCGGTAACAAAGTTCATTTATGCTTAAAGGGCAATACTAAAAAACGAGGCGTCTATGAACCATATAATTCACTTGCACCCTACAAACAAGACCTGTCAAGAAAAGATAGGAGTGTGTTAGACTTAAAAAGTAAGGCGTAGGAATATGCCTGAGAGACGTGATGGATCGTTTGCATTTTTTATCAGAGCGGACAATAGAATCAATTTAAGTATATTTGACTACGTCTGATATACTAAATGTTGATGTCGCGTTTCAGATCCCAAAACTTTATCTGTAAGAATAAATTTGAAGTTTTAAATATTTACTGGTCATCCTTAGCATCTTCATTTTGGAAAACGGCTGTTTAGATTCATGCTTTCCACTACAATCACTAGGAAACTGATCATTAATTTTTTCCTTTCCTCAATTATGGTCTCAAAATTGTAGGGCTATCAATTTAGAGCTTTAATTAAGTTGGGTTGCACACTTTCTTCTTTCTTTCATAACATCTCCGTGTTGAGTTTAAGAAGTAGCCAATTGTCCATAATTACCGAGAAAAATCCCGAGTTACGAGAAGTAATAGTATTTGTGGTGATTTTTTGAGTCGATCCAAAATTGTTTGTCTGGACGTCCGTTTTGCTTTCTTGTGTTCAACCCACAGGCGGGGATTTTTAAGATTTGTCGATGAACTTTAGCTCACTGGCACATTTAGACCAAAGGACGGCCGCTTCTCATATGACACCTAATTTTTGAAAAATCGATATATGGGTAACTGTAGGGTGGTGTAGGATATTTGGTGGTGAGCCATGCTCTCCTATATTGTTTTTACTTGGTTAGTTTATATAAATGCCTGCAAAGATCTTCAAAATTTTGAGAAAACGTGAGATGGAGCATATGTGGTATAAAATATATACTATACAACGTACGAATCATTTATCAAGATAATTGGTCTTTGCTCTCTCTTCCAATTTAGCGATTCAGTTTGCCAAGCGTTGGAAATAGTAAGCGTTTGAAAAGTAGTCTCATTTTTCGATCAATCGGTTGATGACAAATGATATGTTTTATGAATATTACTTAAGCATTTGGTGAGGACCGGCAGGTGAATAATGGAGAAAGGGATGGAGGAGAAGGAGTCTTTCATTTCATTTGTGGTGGGCCGATACGAAGAGAAGTATCTTTGTTTCCCTTGGATAAAGTTCCAAAAATTGAACATTAATTTGTCATTTAAGATGTTAACCTTTCTACAAGGTGCAGAGAATTATGCATTTGCAAGTTGTTTTCGTAGTAATTCACTTTAGCAAAAATACCGAGAAGAAGTGGCACGAATTGATTAGAAATTCGAGGCAAGATAAATGTGCTTAGTGTGTTCAATTTAAAATACAGGTTTAAGTGGGTTTAGCCTCGAAGTCAAATTCTTCATTGGTGTTATGTACAGCAAGTGGAATTCAATGCAAATTCGGTTTCAATTTAATATTAACTAATGAATAGTAAAAGTCCATGGAAAATATCTTATGACTTTAGTGTTGTTGCCTTATCAATTCCTTAATTGTAACTATATTTATTGTACTAGTGTTATTTGTTTGTTTGAAATATTTCCTAAAAAGCTCACGAAGTTATTTATAGAAATTACCAACGGTGTAATAATTGTAAGAATTACTTTTACTTATCCAAGTATGAATTTATAAAATTAAAAAAAGTAAGTAAAAAGTTACATTCGTGTTAGTACGCTGGTTGCATGCGCACCTACACTATCACTACAAAGAGAAAATATATAAATTTTGCTATTATTGTTAGCCGGTCAACATCATTTTTGTAACGAAATCTTCAATTGATCCTGGGATATATTTTATATTGAAAGCTGTTCTTAATATTAAGCAATTAGGTTGCAGCGGTTTTTTCCAGTGATGTTCATTCTCCAATTGGTTTCGGAATTTTATTGCAGCTTTTGACACGCTGAGGATTTCAAAAATAGACTGTGAATGTGATGAAGATTTCTCTTGAAGTGTTGTTTTAATTGTTTAACTACGTTAAATTTGTTTATGCGCGAATTCACGCCGTTATATATCGCGTTTGTCAACCAAAAACATTTATATTAAAGTTCAGCTTTTACTCAATCTTTTCGTGACTAAGAATTTTAACAGCACGCAGTCAGGCAGACAAGGAAAAATAAGGAAGGATGAATAGGGAGACGTGGCTAAACATTGAAAAAGTATTACTTAAGCTTTTTAGATTCTTTGCCACGTATTTTTTTACGTCACAGGTGAAATGCTTAAGTCAATATATCAACATCTTCCGATAGGTGTTTTAAAAAAAAATTCAATAGAGATAACAAGAAAAGAAAACCCCTAAAATGTCCAAAAAAATGAATGCAGATGTTCTGTTATTGGCGCGAAAGTTAAATTATTAATGATGGAATTGATGATGATAACGTCTTATCTGTATTCTTATCAAAGCATGTGTTCATCGAATAGTTGTAGATTTTACAGCGTGATATGTTATCAAATTTGCTTTTATTTTTTTGTTTCCATTTTTCAAGTAAAAGCGTCAACACTTTTTCTTAAGAACGTAAATCCACTCAATTTTATTGCAACGGAAGGTGCACTAGAAAAATTTTGTTAAAATATATATATCTAATTAAAAAAAAAGAAGAAAAACAATGAAATTATTCATTCAAAGAGCATTTACATTAGTAGTTTTCTTCAAGGCAGCCTCGAGCATTGACCTCTGGGCTAGTAATATTTATACTGTTACAAATGGAACACGTTATACATCATTGCATCCGAATGTTGCTTTGAGGCCTTTCGAAAAAGTATTTCATATCAAAGAAAATGTTATTTTCATAAGTGGTGAGCGCATTGAAGGTAAGTGAATGTGAGCTGCCGTGTGTTATAATGATAGACCGTTAAATAAACAATTACATCTTCGCAGAGTAATCAATGTTCGCATGTAATTATACTCCTTACAAAATTTCTTAAATACCAAATGCTAGAAGGGTAATAAGCGTTATCTGCGATGAATGTTTTTGCAATTTCAAAGAAGCCTAGTGTTTTCCAAAATAATTAAAAATTGCTACGTCCATTAATTTTGTTATTTCGTTATTAATACTCACGAACGAAAATCAGAGACATAGGATTTTAACTACCTCAGGGCTCTAAGTGGATTTGTCTTCATTCATCATTCATTCATGTCATTTCATTTATGATTTATTAGAGCTTTTAAAATCAATTTAAGGCTTTACATATATATGATGTCTTTGCTAATGCTATTAATACAGTAAAGAAAAATTATCGAAAACATAGGTGCAAAAATGGTTCAGATCACTTCAAATGGGGTTTCCAAGCAAAAGATTACTTATTAAGACACTTTTTTTATCGGGCCGTCTATAAAGCGACATTAGGCCACACGAAGTCACTCTCACGAAACGCTAATTATGGCAAGAAAATTTGGAGAATTTGCGAGCATTGTGATGTATCGACTTTCACAAACGCGTAAAAAAAAAATATAAAAAAAATTAGAATCTGACTATACAGCTTCAAAAGAAACAAAAGAAGACTTGAAGACTTTATGGGGTCTCTAGCGCTACATATGCTTGAAATGGAATTAGTTTCTTATAACTAATCTAACCAACTGTTTTGTAGAAAACAACTGTCGCCTTCGTCGAAATATTCAAATTTTCCATGGACTCAGATAAATTCACATATTTCATAACATATTAAATGAGCGAATATATAAAAAGTTTATAAATTTTATTCAAGCAGTCTAAGGTATTGAGTCGCCAACATACAGCTTCAATTTTGTGGTACGGAGAATTTTTATAATAGTTATTAAAGAGGCGGACAAACAAACTTGTTTAACTCTATTCAGAATTGTATACTGATCAAAAAAATATATATTTTATGGGGTTTCTGAAGGCTTTCTCCAGGGTATTGTCAACGTTTTGACAAAATTAGTATACCCATCATGTTTCGTGGCTGAACACAAAAATCATAATACAAGATGAATAAAATAATTGCTCTTTTTGCAGGTGACCATTTAATTTTAACTTACTCGGATGAAGCTCAATACACACGTGAAGAAGATGTTGAAGTGTTATTAAATTTTCCCGCTCGTCCTAGTAATGCTAGTATTTACACGTTAACACATGTGCAAGTTTATGTGCAAGTAACGTCGGATGAAACTAGTGCGTACTTTATTGGAAAACCAGGTGGTATCGGTAAACGATTTTGTGATATTTTATTGGCTTGCAATGAAACTCATAATTATGGTTATCAAATCTACTTTTACGGTTATTGAAAGATTGACAACAACAATGCTTTTAGTTAGTGAACTGTGATTAATTTAGGAGAATGTTATCTTAGATTAAAATCTTTTTTCGCAGCAATTTAATGGAAATTTGAAATTTCTCTAAAAATAAGTAATTTTCATTTAATTTATTTCTAAGGTTGAGTATAATTATTATTTACCCGATGTAATACAAATTGTAACGTTTGTTGCAACTACAGCCCTGTAAGGGGATATCATGATAATGATAGGCGGTCGTAAAGAACAAAGTTCGCATGCCTGAAAGAAAAGAAGAAAAACGAACCTAGTTTATCGAACAAGAACGAGGATTGTGGCTTTTTGGTTTTCGACAACGAAAAAGAGATTTGGTCACGAAAGCGTGAAGCGAAGTATACGTTCTTACAAACTGCGTTAAAAATTTAAAAACGTTTTGTAGTAAAGAAACATAAACAAATTATTTTGGGAACCCTTTTTTTGAAAAAGCTTATTTAATTTGTGCGTGGTATTTGTCTATAAATTTTTTGCGAATATCAATCAACGTGAAGTTGAAACGCAAAAAGATAAATCTACACAAGTGGAAATTTTGGACATGCTGATCGTATTACCATATTTTGCTTTCCATTATGATTTTATTTATGGAACTAATAGAAAGAAAAATTTTGGTGCAAATTGAATGTTGTCGATTAAAAATTAATCTACTAATTTTATAATCTCAGTCTTAAAAATACCCTCTGTTTTCTTGTGAAATTTTCTGGCTGAAAATGGATTCAAATCATATTTTTTTTGTGACAAATTTACGTATCTCGTTTTTTTTTTTTGCAAATGAGTGAATAACGAGTGTTAGTGTCATGACGTACGCAACCCGGCGGTTCATTTTTTAATGTTTTTTTTTTTTGTTTTATTTTATTAAATAAGAAAATAATTTTATAAGTGCAAACTAATACCGAGCAATTAACTCAAAGGAAATGTAGCCCAGTTCATCAAATTACTAATATCGTGGGGGTCCATACCCATATACCTTGAAAAATAATGAAAAAGTAAAAAAAGGGGTAAAGAAAAACCAAACTGTGAAAAATGCTACAATGCAAACTAAATATTTAAGTATGGGAACATCTGCCGCCCTTTAAGAAACCTTCAAAAAAAGCGAATACAACAATATGACCATGTATATCGGCGAAGCTAAAGAGAGACTCGGATAGAGAAGAAAGCTGTACTCCAACTTAAAGCGCATGAGTAATGCTTTTCATATACTGTGCGCGTCAACAATGTAAACCTTTTCAAGTTTTCTTGATGCGATGACTGCTTTATAAACTTGATTGTTGTCATTTATTTATTTATTTATTTATTTATTTTTGTGTTCATAGCATGCCATAAATAAAGATAAAAATATGATCTTAGAGGAGGAACTCATGAGGTGCATATAAAACTATCTAGGTATTTATCAAACGTGCATCAAAGATATATAAAGAGCACTTAATATTACATTTGCATTTATTTAGCAAAAAGTGAGGAGTGAACTGTAGATTTCTAGCAGATATGAAGTAAAGGTGACGTTATTGTAAGATGTTCCAGCTAGAAATCATATATGAACAAGTGTCCACGAGCTCCTAAGGACAGAATCAAATGACATTTAATTTAATACCGCGTCGTGAAAAATTCGTTTTACTTACTAATGAACTTTTAGCGCAATCCAGCCGTGTGATAATAAATTATCTTCTGCTACCAGGCTTTTCTTCACATTTGACAATATTGTATACATATTTGGCGCATATTATATTAAGATCAAAGCGGTTATCGGAAACATCAATAATAAAAGCAACCATAACACTAAAAACGATAACATCAACAGTTAGTGCAGCTTTTTTGCAACTCCAATAGCAACTATACACATATATTTTTTATATATAAGTTGTATTAAAATGAAATTTATTATTTGAATATATACTTTATGGGGTCTCTGGTGCTTCCTTCTGGGCGTTGCAAACGGTTTGACAAAATAAATACACCTCTCATCCTTCTGTGATGGGTATAAAATTTCTGTAATTAAATACATTTTCCTGCTTAAGAAATAATTGAAAATAGAACCAGTTGCAGTCAAGGACTCAATTAGCAAACTTCGTTCTAATTTAACTTAAAGTTAATATAAATATGTAATATATAAAATATATTAAGAATATTTATATATATATATACATTAAGAATGAAAGAAAATCTGGTATGATCATGAAACCGGAGTGCAGACTATAAGTTGCTGCTGGGAAATACTTTCATGGCATGAAAACGATGATTATGATGATGCGGTTGCCAAAGTTGCTGCTGACAGTAAGATTGCTATTATAGTTGTTATTAGACTTGCTAAAGTTGCACTGGCTGTTGATGTTATCGTTCTTGGTGTTATGGTTGCTCTTATTGAAGAAATCCATTATTTTTTCGGTAGATGGCTGCACTGATAGATTTCTCGTAAAGTATCGATCAAACAATTTCCGATACTGTACATTTACAAACTGTACATTTCGCAGTAAAAAAAATTATTTTGCTGTTTTTTGTTTGGTGCATTCAGTTGTGAGGTACAGCGTGTTAAAAATGGAAGTGAACAAAGAGAAAATTCGGTACATTTTACAGTTTTTCTTTGACAAAGGCGAAAATGCAAGCCAGGCGGCTAAAATTGTGAATGGTGTTTATGGTTCCGATACTGTAACAGCCAATTATGTGCAATTTTGGTTTCGTAGATTCCGTTCAGGAATTTTTGATGTTAAAGATGCACCTCGCACAGTTAGGCCGGTCGTCGAAAATGTCGATAAAATCGGAGAAATGATCGAAATTGATCGGCATGTTAGCAGTCGTAACATCGCCCAGGAGCTAAAAATCGACCATAAAACAGTTTTAAACCATTTACACAAAGCTGGATTCAAAAAGAAGCTCGATGTTTGGGTGCCACACCAATTAACAGAAAAAAACATGATGGATCGAATTTCCATCTGCGAAGCCTTGGCCAAACGGAATGAGATAGACCCATTTCTTAAACGGATGGTGACTGGAGATGAGAAATGGATCACATACGATAACCCTGTGCGAAAACGATCGTGGTCAAAGAGCGGTGAAGCACCTCAAACGGCCAGGAAGGTTTTGCTATGCATTTGGTGGGACTGGAAGGGGATTATTTATTAAGAGTTGCTTCCATATGGCCAAACGCTAAATTCTGATCTCTACTGTCAACAACTGGACCGTTTGAAGATAGCGATTGACCAGAAACGGTCAGAATTGGCCAACAAGAGAGGTGTCGTGTTCCACCAGGACAACGCTAGCCCAAATACATCTACTCGCCAGAAACTTCGGGAGCTTGGTTGGGAAGTTTTAATGCATCCGCGATACAGTCCGGACTTGGCACCAAACGATTATCATCTTTTTCTTGCATTGCAAAATTTCTTTAATGATAAAAAATTGGAATCTAGGGAGGATTGTGAAAATCGACTACTAGAGTTTTTTGCAAATAGAGACCAGGACTTCTATGAGAGAGGCATTTTGAAGTTACCTTTTAAATGGCAACAAATCGTACAACAAAACGGTGCATATTTGACCCAAATCGGACAATTCGAAGCATGTTAAATAAAGTCCTGAAGTTCATATAAAAATAATGGATTTCTTTTTCCCCAAACTAATATATTCTTGATCAGCATCAAATTCTGGATCAATTTAGGCATGTTCATCTGCCCGTCTTTGCGATGTCCATTGTAAAAATTCTCCTGACCGCAAAAATGCAGCTATCGACTGCAAATTTAGCAAAAGCATTGGAAGTCGTTGCACGCAGGTTGGTATTGGAAATTGGCCAAATCGGTGAAAGAACACGCCCACAGCATCGCGTAAACTGAGAACCCCTCTGGTTTTCAAAAAAAAATGAAAAACTTCTTTTCTGGTCATTACTCATAAACTATAGCAAAAAAGTGTACAAAAATTTGAAAGCACATTCAGTGGGCGATGCTATAACAATCGTGCAAAAAAATTAACAAAATTGACTACGCCTACCCCATATTACAGTGTATACAGCTTTAATGTTTTTTCTTTATAACGCGCGGCAACAAACTTTAAAAATCCTATAAAATCTATTCTTGACTAGTTTCAAATTTGGAATACACCTAAACATATCCCTCTGTATGTCTGTTCATCTATCTGTTTGCGCAATTTTGTAGTATTTGTGGTAAACATTCTACCGTTAGTGAAAGTGAAGATATTGTCTACAAATTTGCAAAAGAATTTGGAATTGACCTACACTTTTCAAAGGACACGCCTACAACGCCCACATGCCACTACGATAAAAACTTTTATTTAGCAAATAAAAGATATCAACTGCGCCCATTCCACATTATAGAGCAGGAAAATTTGGTTCTTTTACTTCTTTTGTCTTTTTTAGGATAATATGGGTACAAACGATAAAATCCCGAGCGAATTTAACTTTCTTACTTGTTTTTATATATGAGAGGAAATTAACTCAAGTATCTTCAGGCTCAACTTCGGAGTCTCACGGGCCGAACGAGATCATAAGTAAGGCAGAGTAAAGAATGACCCAGGGCTTAATATAATCCCGTTTGGTAAGGCAGGTTTTGTCCATCAGTCTATTCGTGTATGAACGGATGTGCATTTCTTTTAGATGAAATCGTCTGTAGAGTGTCCGTCATATAAAATTTAAAGTCCTCTCTCATCTCCCGAACTAGTTAGCTAAGCTATCGTAAGTGCGATAGTTTCTACAGCGTCCAATTTTCTTTAAGTGGCACCAAAGAGAGGCTCCAGAAATAATACAGCGCCTATACAATAATTGGACAGACTAGAGGATTGCCAGACATATTTGTTACCTCCATTGTCTCATCACCATAATATTTCTTCTGTGAACATTGCAACGACACTGTAATTTTTAAGAAAAGAACAGCTTTTCATTAAAGGATAGATGCATCGTATTAACAAGGTACAAGTTATGTTATATATTAAGCCAGTATTCACTGGTTCGAATCTTTTATGCGGCAGAGTTTATTTTGGTTGTAGCTATAAAAGGTGCTCAGTCGCTACAGGCATAATGCTATCAGATTGCATACACACCCACTAGATTGCGTTCATCAACTCCCTATATATTTCTCTTTGATCACTTTCCTCTGACCGTCACCACGTTGTACGAATAGAGAATAGCTACTTAGTGATTGATCGCATTAAAAAAAAAATTTGACAATTATATTCGAAAATAATCGCCTTTTTAAAATAAAAATTCTTCTTGTTTTTTGAAAATAACAATCGAAAGAGTGTAGCTGACAATCATTTGTTCTCTGTCGCGATTTAAAAATCACAATTGTTTGCTCTTCCTGTCTATTGATTGCACGACACTATTTATTTACGTTGTCTTAGCATCTCTTTCAACTAATCTGCGCGAAAGTAAGAAAAGGAAGATGTGTATGTGAAGCGAGAAAAATTCACCGGCGCATTTTAAATTCTGCATCGCACGTAATGATAATTTCAAAATCGTTCTTTTATAAAATTTGGCAACCCCTCATGAATAATTTGCAAATTAAAAAACGAATTTAATACCTTGCTTTATAGGCAAACACTTTTTGTTTGTTAAGAGTTTTTTTGATTCATACGGGAATTGCAATATGGAAAAAGCTATTATTATTATTATTATTATTATTATTATTTTAATTTTAGACTAATGAAATGAATTCTTAGACTAAAAAAAAGACATTGACCACTAGCAACACAGACTATCGGCTCAGGAGGAAAAAGCTAAGGTATACTTCGACTTCGAAAATTGAAAATGCTTGTATCAGAGGCCACCAAACACCGAAAAGGAAAAGAGCCTCGGATATCCCATAAAATGTGATGTTGTAATTGAATAGAATCAGACCACCTATGTTACAAAAATGACTGAAGAATGGTTTTTCATGTTACTTATAAAACAAAACAGAAATAACAATAAAAATTCACATCTGTATTCTATGGGTTAGCATGTAGGATCCGTACGAAAATAGGAAACGTTGGCTTTGTGTGAAATTTTATCCCACAAAGGCAGCTGTTGCTGATGATGATGTAGATGTCAAAGATGGCATAGTTCACTTTTCTCTTCTGCAGGCTGCTGTTGTTAGTACAACTCTATAAGGGCCAAATTATTACGAGATACGACGATGTGTTACTATTTCGCATAGTTATTACATGCACTCCAATCTTTTATAGTTAAGTTGGTCTTTAATAATATCGTTACCCTTACACATATAATCCTAATTACCATTCAGTGTTAAGATTGGGCGTGGAACTTCACAAACTCAACTAATGAAAATTTTCCATTAATATATAACTTTTTATCCAATTTAATAAATATTTTCTTTGAATTACGTACGAAAAATAGCAATTAGTTCCAGTCTAAAGCGAAAAGGGATCTCTCTCTTTCTCTTTCTCTTTTCGATATAGCTTTCAAACAATGGGTAGTGTATATAAAATTCCAAGGCAACCACTATTTATTTAAGCATTTTTATGAAGTTTACTCTCGCTGTGAACTATCCGTTATTTTCATAAATATTTTGATTAAAAGATAGTGATTGTTATATAATTGAATACGTTCTTTACATATATGTAATTTTGATATCACTATTTAAAATGTGACGACGTGTAGATTCCTTCAGTTGTATTGTTACCAGCAAATTTATTCCTAAAAAAATCTCTTTATA